AGCTTTTGAAGTCATTTTCACTGACGAATAGTGGTGTGAGTCGAACTTTTTTTAAGTGTTCCCCCGGAAGTTCTCCAGCATTTTGTATCTTTATGTTATACTGGGCTACCAGGTGATTCACACCGCATTTACTGTGGGGGTATCTAATACACTACTTTACAATAAAAGAACCTAATTCGGTAGCTTTATTTTAGGTATGTAAGTATGTATTCTTCTGTGAATTGGGTAAGATACTTTCTATAGTTGAAGAAGGAGGCGAAGTACGAAGCGGAGAGATGAGGTAGGTGAAAAATTAGAAATTTTCTATTTAAACTATATAATTAAGGCAATCGTTTAGTGTATAACAATAGATAGGCATTATTCAAAAGGTTTGTGAAGTAAATGTGAAAGTACATTTAGGGGGTTGCAGAAACTAAGCTATTGCCGACTACATTGTGCCAATCGGCTGGAATATTAAATGAGAATTCTGCTTGTGGTCTGGCAGGTAACAAGTTTATTCGTCTGAAGTCTCATTCATTTCAGTTATTGTTTTTTTCAAAAGTCTCGATTAGAATATTGCCGAGAGGTTTGATGTGGATTGCGTAAGAACTATTTAACTTTTTTACGTTGCGTTCTTGGTATGGCATTTCCAGATGGAAGCATTTAGAAAATTGTTTCCGTTCGACACAATTTTGCCGCCGGAGTCGAGGGGAGATAAGAGCTATTAAATTCTACTAAATAATCTCAGGGGTATATTGCATTACAAAAATTAAGCGACAATGCTTTTTTCGTGGGAAATAAGGAACATTTCGTCCACGAAAGTTTAAAGTTATATTCCAACTTGTAAATAACAGTAGTTAACACTACCTGGTGTATTTAGGATATAAAAATGCCGCGCGTCTATCAAATACCTACTTTTGAACAGCTAAATTACTTCTTAAGGTTAATTGCTCAAAGTTTCCGAAGTTATCCAAGCGGAAGGTCTTCAGAAATTCATCTTGCGTGATGTAGAACAGCTTACCTACAATTTCCATTTTAAGTGTTGAGATCCAGGAAGTCTCTGATGTCGATCATTAACGTTCATAGCCCCTTAAAACACTAATTCGCGCACCACTTATCCAACATATTTTTGTGACTCCAATGCAGCACTCAGAAGCTTCTACGTCAAATAACACAAATCTGTTAATAACTCTGTCTGGCTAATAATTAAGTAATTCTGTTAAAAAAACTGACTTTTTTGAATTCTCATTACACTTCGAACATTAAATAAATATTATCTGAGTATAATTTTAGCAATTGCATATACAGGGTCGCTATTAAAGATGGAACCGAAGCCCTCGCGCTCAAACCATTTGAGATATAGAACGCTTCCATATTTTGGGGTTAAAAATTTTGTGACATCGTTTTTGAGTGCGACACACATAGATCACGTGGTACCTACGTCATTAGAAACCTAATTTTTCCTCTTTATTACTACTTGTTTTAATTGAACAATCACTTTCTGATAGGTATTTTGCTGACTACCATTACTGCCATTCGGCTTGCTCAAATTAACATGACACTCAAAGTTTATAGGGTTCGTAAACAGACGTGATAGTTTTTTTTAAACAATTACAACAATGTTAAACGTAAAATCAAACCTCAAGTTTTTCCCAAAATTACCTACAACTAAACTTTGTCTAATAAACGTCAAATAACAAAGCAAATGAAACACAAATGCTTGATTACAATTTCTTCAAAACTTGATATTGATGACCTCCAAACCAATACATAATTCTGAATGGAAGGTACGAATGGAAAACAGACGAACTAACATGACTTCAAATCTTCAAACGTTAATTCACGACTATGAAAGCTCAATGGCCTGACGTCTCTTCGCCCCTTCCCTTATTAAATCGGTTTTGGCCCTCCACTTCCACATTTCGTCGTAAGACGTCTACAATCAAGAAGTTATCACTTGTTCTTTAAACTTATCACACTGCATGATTCATAAAATAGGTACTACGCCTAAGTAATAATATTTAAAGATAATAAAATTTAACAAAGGATACACCTGCAGATTTTGTACGTCTCTTGCCAAATTGCATGAAGCAATCATTTATGTGTCCATCTAATCTACGTTTATTTTAATTAAGGACGAAACAACCTGCGGCATATCAAATCTTTTTAAAATGCATCAAAATTGAACACCTTCCCTTTCCACTTTCGCCTGCAATATTTTAATTTAAATCTTTTCTTTCTCTCCTCTGAACGTATCGGTATAATCGCTAGTACTAGATGGCATGTCTTGCATTTTCAAACTACCGACTTTCTGTAGATTTTCTTGCGAATTAGTATAACCATAGAGGAAATACAATTCTATGGTATAACTGAGTTCATACAATTTGGCGAAATTCAACATCGTACGTAAGTTCGCGTAGTGTTAGCAAATTTAATATCAGTGCGTCGCATCCTGTGAAATATTTCTCAATTCTCATGCCCACATAAATCACTTCGAACGACACAATGCGTTAGGCACCTAGCTTAACGTACGTTGTCATAATGCAGGTGACAATAAATTATGTGCAACGAGTATACAGCAATTAAATTTTATTACCTCATTTGTCATCATAATTTTGAGTGTAATCTTATCTTACAGTTTGAGAAGAAAACCACTTTTTGTAATTACCTGGCCAATTTACAATTGTAATTACTAAAATAACGCGTTTGAAAAATTTGGATTTGATTAATTAATTCAAAATTGGTACGATTTTGAGGTTTATTGACATTTGTTTCAATTGATGACGTCATCAACTAAATTGATTTACTACCTAATTAGATTAATCCGCTGGTCGATTATATAATTCTCCGAATTTCCTCTAATTACTTGAATTTGTGGTTTTGATTAATATAATTCGGTGTTTGATTTCTTGGAATTTCCTCTAATTAATTTAATTCGAGGTATAATAAAGGAGGTCCTTTCTCTCTCTTACTCATTGCACATATCTTCTCTCACTTCACTATTCTGAAATAGACGTTGGAAATTAAATGAACAAGATTTAATTATACTTATCATGTATAATATACAGAAATAAATAAACAAAAACGTTACAATCACAATCGAAAATTACTATTTAAATAACATATACAATACAAACCCGTTTCCACGCAAGCACCAGGTAGGTGATAATGGCGCGCTTTTTTTAAACTGGTATCCCCAGTTTGCCTAATCCACTGAATATTTACAACTTAAAATTAATATTTACAATTATTCATCATAACCGTAAGGAAGGGAATCGTATTTATTCTGAGAAACGGCGTCTTGAAGATGGATACGATACCCTTCCTTACGGTAATTCTGCCTGTTAAAAAAATACGCGTACCTCCTGGGTGTTGGGGAAATGGGCTTGTATTGTATATTTTATTTAAATTGTAATTTTCGATGTTGCTTGTAACGTTTTTGTTTATTTTTGTATGTCTTTTGATAATAAATATAATTAAAACTTGTTTTTTTCATTTAATTTCCAACGTCTATTTCAGAATAATGAAGTGGTAAAAGATATGTGCAGTGAGTAAGAGAGACGTACACGCAGGGAGTAGGAAAGTGACGTTACACAGTTTCGGAGGGATACGACCACAAACACCACCTGTAACGATGTTTGTAGTCGAACTCCTCTGAAACGGTTCGTATTTTTGGTAGGCATGCGAATAGGTTCTAAGTATATTCCATACTGCTAATAATAATATCGAGTAAGGTGAGGGGGCGCAGCCGCCGAAACCGAGGTTATGTCCCATCCGGGAGCGAGGTATGGGACTAGGTCGTAGTGCATACTTTATAACGCTTACAATAAATACCGGGCGAGGTGAGGCTGCGCAACCACCGGAAGCGGAACCAAGTTTCTGTCCCATACGGGAGCGGGATATTGGGACGAAGTGAAGCGGCGCAGCCTCAGAAACCGAGCGTTTCTCCCATTCCCCAATCTCCCAAAGGCGGTACAATTTTTAACACATAATAGAATGACCCTCGCGAATGATAAGGCACACCAAAAGAGTGGGTGCAATTAAAACTATTATTTAATTATTTATTATATTATTATATTAATTTATTCCATTATTTTTCCATATATTACATATTTAGGCTACCACGCCGTGCATGCCTTTTGGTACTCCTTTCACGCTACTTTCCGCGCCATTTGATTCTTGACACTCGGAACGCATCAGCGCCTGGCTGTTTACCCTTAGCGATGCGAACGAGGAAAAAATGTCTGTTTACCACAACAGTCTTTTAAATTAGACGTTTAATTCTACGTGAAGAGCGCATCTAAAATACGAAAAATGGTTCCTCGCGTAAATTGTATCATTCGAAAATGAACGGCCCTGCAACAAATTAAGCTAGCTTCCGAATTTTAATGTAAAATTGAGCCTGCAGGTAACTCCAACTTTGTCACTACATTCACAAAGCGTTTCTAAACGACGCGACGTGTTCGTAATTACGCGATTAATAGAAATAAATAGCCCCACCGTCCTTGGTTGGAATTTTCCATTAAAAAAAATTCGGCAACCCATTCCTGCGACTTGCTTCAATTTTCTCCAACAAAAATGTAGCACAACTGAGATAGTAAATAACTGTTCGCGAATTTAGCTCAACTTTCTGGCGGCTCTTGATTTTAATCATTATACTTTCGCCAATACGCGGAATAACCACCTTTTTCGCTGTCAAGGAGGACGTACTTACCCTCTTAAGGGTTAACTTCGTCTGCCTAAAAATGCCCGCACATCATACAGTCTCTCCTCGCGTCTCGAAAATGCCCACATTTTCTTGAAAATACACGTGTTGTTATCGCCTTTTATACAGACGTAATTTTGTTTCTGTTGGTTATAAAGCGGTATATGTGCAAATCTTCGAAAAATTACTTTTACAAATGGCTGTTAACCGGAGGATTAGGATGCACTTTAATTCTGCGGTATGTACATACCTACTCTACTTTTTGTATGAAGGCAATTAAAGGCATACGTACAAATTCTAAATATATTTTTCTTGTATGTAAGATTTTCTTAAACAGGCGATTGAGTAGAAACTATTCACAAAACCGTTGAGGAACTCCCAAAATTCAAAATCTGCGCTATATAATGCAAGAATCAAGCCCGTAGAGAAATTTTCCGGAATATTGCATTTTCCCTTTGTAGGTACCTTACTCCAACATTTTCGAGATATTCACCATTAAATTTTTACATTGCCAGTAGTGTCTCGTCTTTCCGCCATTTGAGAGTACCCTCTTCCGACTCTCCGTTCTGCAGATATTTGCACTGAAAGTTTTGACATCAATAATATATTATGTCTAGTCGTTCCACTTGTCCTTTATGAGTACCCTCTTCTAACACTTTGTTTGCAAGATATTCGCTTCCACTACGCCAATAGATGATATGTCTCGTCCAGGCGATTCATTTTTCCTTTGAGAGTACTTTCCCCCGACAAACAGTTTGCGAGATATTCGCTCTTAAAATGAAATCACCAATGGATATATTTCTTCCAGACGTCCCAATCACCCTTGAGTACGCTCCTCCGACAATCTGTTCTTGAGATATAAGGAATTATATCCAGGTCGATAAGGGAGAAATGGTAGGGTAGAAATTAATTCCTTTCGTTGTGACCTCGGTTATTGTACAAACCAGTTGTACAGATACTCGCAGATAGTTTATCAGCTTTTCCTATTCAAATTTTGGAGTGATTTTGTGAAAGCGAATTTTGTTTAGGCCAATACTGGTTTTTTAACTATAACAAATAAAACAAGCTAACAAGCTAAATTTTGGCAATATAATCAACAAAATTAAATTGCATGTTTAAGTGGTACGCTTCGGTTTCAGCGCGAAATAAAAACCTAATTGCATCCGTCGTTATGTTAAAAACGAACATTCCTTGTTTGCCAATTAGGTGACTTTAAATTACGGTTCACCGGGAGCAGCTTTTCGAATATAGTCGTGATACTGTAAAACTGCCCTCTCCTGCTCACGCGTTTCAACTGATCCTGGCCTCAGGAGTCGGAGGTTAATAAGGGCACGTTCGGGAGCGAGGCCGCAAAAACGCACAAGATAACACGCACCCATTACGCCAGTCCTTCCACGGCCCATCCTGCAGTGTATCCCGACAGCCTGGAAATAATTAAAAGGATTAAACTGTGACGTCACAGTTACTTCACTCGCATAAGAAAGATACGAAAAGAAAACTAATTTTAAAGTTACACGCCGCTATCGATATTAAAGACAACATTTATATTTTATGCCATGAGCATTATTAAACATCTCCGGGGGCAGTTTAATCAAGCAACGAAATTACCTAAGTAAATTAATTTAGGTACTATTTAAGTACCTGTACACATTTACACGTTATCAATTGTGCTGTGTACAGAACATAGAACAAGTAGACTGTGCAAAAAATCATTTTCGCTTTTCCTACATCAGGAAACTTCCGTAAAATATCTACCGGAAAATGTCCACATGCCGTGCTTGTCTCTTTTCCACCAGCTATAGTAGTAATGGAAACATTCTAGCAATGCCCACTTCACTACAAAAGATTTCTTTTCTAATATTTCTTACTCGCCTCATGTATTTTATCAAGAAAACAACTTTTATATTTATTTTCCGGAAATTCAACGTACAGAAATGGGGGTCTGTTTCCTATTGAGATACCTACACCGGAGGATCCCGGCACAGAGAAAAGAAGCCAGCTTTTAACTCCTAACAAATAACAATTCAATAATTGTAATAACACAATATATGTATGTTGTTGTGAAAACTTCCTAAGACTGAAACTACCCACACAACTTACCCTTGCTAGCTCAATCTCACAAAAACTCTTTAAAACACAAATCTCAGGGCCCGTAAAATGAGTCCGACTACCCCTTTTTTTCGTCCGGACAAGGGGTAGCAACCTCGCCAGGTCGGTGGCTAATACCTCCCTTAAATTCCAAATAAAATAATCCCTTGTTAACTGACTTCTGGAATTAAATTTAAGTCCCACCGATGATCCAAACCTTTTTAAGTTACCAAACTCGTTTCACACTCGGAATAAAAAAAGAAAACTTAAATTTGAGAATCCTTGACCTTTACTTTGACACACAAATAATAAATGACAATAAAATTTACAAAGCTAAATGCACAAAATCTGAAAATAATAACTTACACGAATTGAAACACAAAACCGTCTAAGACGGCGATTCTTACAATTAAATTAAAAAAAAATGACAGTACTCACGATCTGTGTACAAACTAATCCTTTTTACAAATGCACAAACGACCGATGCACATAAACACAGCCCCAGGTATGTGCTGACACCTGTACAGCTACTCCAACAGCTCCTCGGCGATGCTGGCGTTAAACAAACGTTCCGCCATGTCCAGACAATGTAAAATCCAATGAAAACGAAATCTCGCTGCTAAAATGGCGTTATTGTACCGCTCCTTTCCCTTCAACAAACTCCTTCCAAAGACCTTCTTAAACTCCTCGATGACGGCGTAATCCAAACGTTCCCGGACTTTCAAATAACAATAAACGACGAATAAACTGGCGTAACTTTAGCAAACGCCCCTACAATAAACTTTCCAATAACTTTCACGTAAGACAAAACGTAGACTTCGCGAAACGGTACAATAAGCGCCTTCTCTTCGCTGTTCAAACCCATTTATACGCCACCCATCGCCAAATCTCGTTGCGACGCTTTTCCACGTAAAATTTGAATTTCGGAGCCGATAAAACTTAACGGTCGACTCCGCGGACCAATAACATAATTGCATAAATAAAACTATTACCGATCGTAAATCAACTTAGACTGGCACTTTTACGAGTTTTAACACGCCAAAATTCCTATGAAATTCGCTCTTAAACAACTAAAAGTTTCCTTATCTAAAGTAACACTTGTGCAAAGCGCGTGCACTCTGCTAACTTCCACGAATTTAACAATAACAAGACAAAATTTATTACATTAAAAATTTCTAATTACGGATTCGATTTTCCCAGACTTTAAGTTTCTTAATTAACTCCGGCCGAGCATTAATTGAACCAAAACAACGATCCTCTGCATAAAAATGGGAAATAAACTTCTTTCCAGAGTAAATAAATGGCGTCCAACTGCGGCCTAATAAAAAAACACAACAATGTATAATAATAACGAAATGACAAAAAAATATGTGTAATAATAATGCATAAGAACATTGCAACAATGCAACAAACTTTAGTATAAACAGAAACTATAAACATTCACCATTAAATTAAGTATAATTCCCTTCCAACTCAACGGAGATTGGCAATTTCCCCCCTTTCAATATTAATCGAACAGAAAGTAGCAAAAACCTTACCTTGTAATTAAACGTAGCGGTAGAAATTTTTGTGCAAGAACAAGCAAAAGCGGTAAATACGGTCCGGTAAACGTAACGTAAAAGTAAAAATTAAACGGTATGAATGCAAAATAAATTTACAGAAATATCAAAATCAAATTCAAATACAGGACGGTAAGTTGAATGATCCAAAAAAACAACACTGAATGCCGGTAATGAATCTATTTAAGGCAATTATCAAAATTACAGTAGGTACTTACAAATTAACTCGCAAAAATGCAAAATTTTCTCCCCTAATTGATTTAGACCAAAGTTGTAGATAGGTTTCTTGTAGCTTAAAAAATTCCTGAGTCTCATGTCCTTATTTATTATTTTTCAATTCGGGAAATCCGAAAAAAAATAAATTAGAAGTTAGTATTTGCGTAAAAATCTAATTTTTGTTTCAATAACTCGATTTATAATTATACTTTATAATTTCCTTAATTCTCAGATTTCCCACAATAAACAATTACAAACGGGCACATGAAGAGATTTTACAATCTACAAAAAATGTATTTACAACTTTGCGGTAAAACCATTAGGGGGAAAATTTTTAATATAAAGAAATTACTACTGAAATCCCTATGGTGCGTAAACCAATTCTACACCCTGTATGCCTGTATGGCATGATAAGGCATGAGCAATAAAATTATGATTCAGAGAAAGCCGTGAAAGTTTTAGGTCAAAGTAGCTATTAGATTTACTTGTGCAGTAAAACTACTCTTGTCACTGAGCCAAATACACGTGACCGATGACTCTCTCTTTCAGGGCGAACTCTAAGTCAAAATTTCGTTGCTCACTCGCTGCAGACTTTTGCAGAGATACTGCTTTTATATTATTGTGGATTGTAGTATACAACCATCTGGAGGTTTTGAATGCAAAGCCGATGAAAGATTACCCCACCCAATACAATCGCGATAAGCGACGCGAAAGCAGCTATAATGAAAGGGGATTGATATCAAAACTAATTCAATTTCGTCTCGGGAGATGTTTAGCAATTGTAAAGAAATTTTAGCAAAACGCTTAGTAACAAATTAATTCCTTCAATCTTTGCAATTTTATTAAAAGCTACTTGAAAAGTGAAATTGTACTTTTTCTTAGCGTAAATGTAGCTCTCACAAATGTGCCCCTAATTTGGACTTTATTACATTGCTTATATAGCCTATATGGAAGGCCATTATAGAGATATTAACCCAAATGAATCTCAAATTGAATTTACTTATTACCGAGCTTATTACGTATTAAACATGTCCCGATCAATAGCGGTTTCTGACAAAACTATCGGGACATTTTGTATAGTATTGAGTACTGAGTCCTTATTAGAGCACTGAGAGTGACTACTTTAGTATGGGTATGGATTGTTGAGAATCATGTCCACGTTGCATTTGAGTATGCTTGGTGGAAACGTTGACGTGTGTTACCGGTATTTCCAAATTCAATATATTTTTCGAAACGTGTTGAGTCTAAGAATTTTGCACGACGGCGGAGTGTTGTTCCATACATAGCATCGTATGAGAATCTTCTTTTGAAAAACGCCTTTTTTTCCTCCCCACACTTTTGATTTCTTAGAGATCTATACTGCCTCTTATTTTAAGTCGGTTTTGTTCTTGTTATGGCACCTCAGGGACATATACAGAAAATACAGAGCATGTTAATAACGATCACATTTTACATAATTCTATAAATGAAGATACACGCCGGTTAATTTAGATCTATCATGATTTATATTTAATAAGCCCTCTCATAGTGCACCAAGGTACACGAAACCTTGAATTACAAAAAAAGGAAAAAAGGGTAGCCATAGTCGATTCCACGGTAGCTTTGAAGAACAACGTCCTTCATGACGGTATGGTCGGCTGTGTGTGAGGTAGCGCACCCTCCCAGCAGCGTGGCGCATGACGGTATGGTCGGCTGTGTTTTGAGGGTAGCGCACCCTCGCAGCAGTCTAGCGGGGGATTTGGGGTTGCGGATGCCTGTGCGCATCGCGGTTGTTTTCCCGGGAAACATCGGACTACCACGGGAAGGTTGAACTACACTAAGCATATATGCAGCGCTTTTCTGAAATTAGAGTGTGAGAGGTAACTTTGCGCGTATGCGATCAAAATCAATTAAATTGATAGAACAACGTATTATCTTTTACTCGATTATGGATTAATACCTATTCCATTAATTGACAGAAAATGTATTTTGGAATCAGTAAATGTACCGAGAAATAATTATGTTTTGTTGGTCATTAAGCATTAGTAGCGTTGCATATGTGAAAGTAGCGGTAGGTACAATGATTAGAATAGCAATCGCAGCTTTTCACGGAAAATGTCACCGTAATACAAGCGTGATACACTAGTTGCCTATAATTGGGCCAAATTCTTTAATTGATCTTTTGAATCGTTTGAATATCAGAATATGGAACCAATGGTCAAAGTGTAAAGATCCCCATCTTTAGTATAACCAACCCTACGGAGTATGGTGACATAAAAGTTAAATCAAAGGCACATTGCTTTTTTGGCTATTGTGACTGCACATTGTATCAAAAAAATTGACTAATTTCAGGGGAATGACTTGACCGAAACAATCAATGGTGTCATGGCAAATTTCGCAGTGCCGGAACGCACTTTTTTAATATTAACTTCGCTTTTGTTAATAATAATAATAATAGATTTTATTTCTCACCAAATAGCACACAGCAAAGGCATAATTACAGATGAAAAATGGTTAAAAAGTTATATTTCCTATACTTATTTGCTCAAAATGATGTTATATTATATGTCTATGAGTTTAAT